TTTGTGGCCCGATTTCTCCATGAAGGAGTGAAAATCACAATAGACATTTATACACCATTCGATAGAGAATTTCAAGGGCTATATTTTGCACTATTTTGTTTTCGAAAAGAAACAAAGTCACTTTTCCACCTAATGTCCGCCTGGATGCCCACTGTGCTACGACCCTCGTACTCGTTTAGAGTTCAAATCATATTTGAATGGGATTGAAAAAACTCGCAATTTTTATTAACACATATTTGTACTGTACCATACTCCGCTTCTGTTCATAGCTCATATCATTGGCTGAAATAGCGTTAAGTTTTGTTTTTAGATTCATACAATTCTAGAAATACGTTTCAATGTAACGCTGAGAATACAATACTTTAATAGCGACGCTAGAATATAAGATTCTATAAAATTCCATGATAAATAAAATCAATGATTTAGATATTTTAGTTTATCGAAAGTAAAAAATATTTGTAATAATATTTTTTTGCATTTATCTTCGTACAGATAAGCCATAAAAACTTGAATTTTGTTTCAAAAAATATTTTTAATCTATAAACGAGTGAGACTATATATTTAATTTATATCTCTTTCGTGACCTGAACTATTATTGTAACAGAGTCGATTTCTTCTTGATTTGAATATTGTTACAGAGAGGCCTCTGTCACTAACCGTGCAGTATTTTAATTTGAAATAAAATCAAGATTAAGACATTGAAATATGCAACAGTCCTGTATAATTTGAAAAATATATTCGACTATCCTCTAAGTCGTTGAAGCGCATCATGCTTTTCGTTTTTAAATCTATTGAGCACACCATTCCTAACATTTTCACTACTGCGGCGAAAGTACTTTTGTCCGTTGTTGGCACCCCGTTCACTAGAAAAATTATATTCATAATCAAGTATATCTGTCAGGATGTCTTCTAAACAAACTCACTTGTATATACGATTAATTAGTTCTTCATCACTCAAGTTTTTGTTATTTTGACCTGCCAATGCCCGCTGGATGATTAACGCACCGCCATCTGCACCATGCTGAACCGACGTGCTCCATATAACATCTTTAATCACAGGCGATCGTTCATCCAAATTCAATTGATGTCTATATGCCGCAGGTAGGCGAGACAAGGTTTTGTCATAATGTGTTTGTTTGATAAATGCATGCTGCGCACTTCCAAACTCGTTCGACTTCAACGATATTCAATTGAAAAATTGCTATCTTCAGAACATGTCTGTTTACCTGCTGTTTTGCCAAAGTTTTCCATTCCTCATCAAACTTGCCAGTTCCAGGAGTTAGTCCATCAAATCTCGATGCCATGTGTGGCTGATTGTCATCCATCCACTTCATAAAATTGTTCATTGTACCCGTGTTCGTAGCAATCTGATACGTTCCATAACTAGCACCACCAGGATCACCTGTTCCTATTTTTTTGTAAGAATTGATTGTTCCTGGTCCTCGCTTTCCACTTTCGTATTTAGCACTGAGTGATCCGAGTGACGTTGAAGGTTGAAAATTATTTGTCAACTTCCCTAAGTTTCAATCAAAATGAAAAGTAATACAGGAT